TTGCTGGAGAAGGACCTACATCAGCCGATGTACATTTTCCTCTGTAACTTGTGTATAAATGGGTTGTTCGGCACAGTGGGGTTTTACCCTAAATTTCTGTCTGACTTATTCTCTGACACTTATTTGATTTCCTACAGTGGATGTTTACTTCAGACCTTTGTCATCTTCTCATATGCATTATGTGAATTTACCAATTTAACAGTGATGGCAATTGACAGGTACGTAGCAATATGCAGGCCTTTGCATTACAGTACTGTAATGACACCTGTTACTATATGCAAGCTGTTGATTGTTATTTGGATGGTTCCATTCTTCTCCGTTCTGTGTTCCATTATCCTGACTATTACTCTCCCCTATTGTGGGTTGTACGTCAGCACTCTGTATTGTAAAATAACTCTTTCAACCTGCAAACATGATAGTGTGAGATTTGCATTCAATGGAACATTTGGAAGTATATATTTATTAATGGCGACATTTGTCATCTATTCCTATGGTAAAATCCTTTCTGCCTGCAGGAAATCGAAAGAAAACCAGGCTAAATTCATGCAAACTTGTCTTCCCCATTTAATAAGTTGCAGCAATTTTGTATTCATCACCTCCCTTGATGCATTTAGTGGTAAAAACATTCCACAGTGGTGTAGCAGCTTTATTTCTGTGGCATTTTTAGTCAGTCCTCCTATTATTAATCCCCTTATTTACGGCATCAACCTGAGATCTATACGCAGAAAAATTTGTAAATGCTGTAAGAGAGGGCAGGTTTTATAGTGTGGCTTCACATTTTGAATAATGCATGTTTTATCTGACTTGACTTGATTTAATAGGTAGATGTGTTCTTTATGTATTTTTATTAAAGTTAGCTATCCTGTACATTCATTAAAGTACCTCATTTAAAGTATGTTGAATTTAATAACAAGTAATTAATTGTTAACATACTACTTTGAATATGTTTGACTGAATGTATGTTAATTTATCTTAATCATTTGCACATATAGTATATCTATACAATTTGAGGTGAAGGTGGTTATTAATGTTGCCTTTAAGAAGATGTTAAATAGACTTAATGTGCTCCTAAATCACATAAACATTTAGTCGACGTTTGTACCCCAGGTGGAAGTCTGTGTCGTCTGATTGGTTGACCGGCGCTGATTAAAATAGACAGTTAGAGCTCACAGCCGTATCACAGCAGCGTTTTCCCAAGCAGCTAGTGATGAGAGACGCTTCTGTCTTTTTAGCAGTGGTTTGAGACACAGACTTGCAGTGTCTATAGGGAGCTGCACTGTGTGAGCTGCAATGATCGGTGTGCTGTGCTGGACAGGCTAACGAGAGGCGACAAAAATGTGTCGAGACCAAAACATTCATCTTATCTATTTCTCATTATCTTATGTTTAAATGTGTCACCAGTAAATGCACTGTATATTTTGGCATTGTTAAGATAAATGAAACTCTTTCTAACATATTATGGTTGTTATAGTACACAAAATTTAAAAAATTGAATGACTTCTTTCTGAAGTTAACATGCTTCTAGCTAAAATATGTAATGTTTATATTATTATGTCTGTGTTTATGTATCAGCTGGTATGTGTTAAAATGTGTAAAAATGTATACAGTATGTGTGTGTGTGTGTGTTCATCACTAAACACAAGGTTTATACTGCACACCAACAATAACATGTGGGGCTGTATGGTGGCGCTGTTGTTAGCATTGTTGTCTCACACCTCTAGGACCAGGGTTTGAGTCTCTGCCATGGCTCCACGTATGTGGAGTTTGCATGTTCTCCCCGTGTCATTGTGGGGTTTCCTATAGGTACTCCAGTTTCTCCCTGCAGTCCAAGAACAGGCTGAGATTAACTGGAGTTACCAAATGGTTCAGTGCCCCTAGTGAGCAAATGGTGTATAAGAGTGCACTACAATGGGTTGGCACCCCATCGACACCCCATTATTCTCTACTTCACGCCCATTGGCTCCACCCCCAGACAAGCAGCCTCAGAAAATGGATGGATGGAAAAATAACATGACAAGAAAATAAGTCATTGTTATGATTTTCTAAGACACATATTAGAGCTATATGAAACAGGCATAAGTCTACTATTAAAACTGCAAAGACTTCATTAAGTGCCCCGCACAATTAGAAGCATAACTTGATGCATTCAAGAATAAGACACATAAAGTGAAGTAAATATTTTTTTTTTGTTCAAGCATATGCTTTATTCCGAATTCGCCTCCAACTCGCATGAGGCTCAGCCGAGAGACTTGCATTGATTTGGCCACTGACAGCAGTGGAGAACTGGAGATGAGAGAGCGATTGAGAACAGTTTATAGAGGGGGAATCAATCTAAAAATAAAATTATTGGTAAAAAAAAAATGGTTCAAATTTATCTAAATAATTAAGGCTTAGGGCCTCTACTAAATGATATATTTACGTAACGCTAGTCATGTGCTGCTTCCCACTTGACAATTCCAGTGGGCAGGGCAGGGCAGATCAGGCTCAGGAACCCCCCCCCATCGTGGCACTCTGCATTGTTTCAGTATGTTGATGATGTCACGTGCATGGTCAGGGAGGTGCAGGCCCAGCTGTGGCACAGCAGCAGCAACTGTGGTGACAGTCTGATTCTTTTCCTCCTTCCTTGATGCATTTAATGATAAAAACCAAATTACAGCGGTTTAGCAGCTTTATGTCGGTGGCATTTTTAGTCATCCCTCATATTATTAATCCCATTACTTATGGGGTCTGTCGTATCACGGACCGGGGAAGCAGGAGCAGGGGGACGGACAATTGGGGAACGAGGGATTTATTCAGGATACGAGAAGGAACACTGGCAACATACAACGTCACAACATTAATGACTGGACTGGGGAAAACATACCTAACGCAGACTTAAATACATTGGACTAATCAACAACAATGAGAAACAGCTGGTAAACACGGGGATTCCACACGAGGTAGTGGGGGGCGTGGCACACGGGAGAATCGGACAAGCTGTAATGAAATCTCACGTTTCCCCCAACTCCTTGGAGTTTCCTGGCTCCCTACCCTGCACGTCGTGACAGAAAGACCGAACCCCACAAAAAGACACCTCGCCTCACGGAAGAGGGATACCTCAGTCTGGTGGATGAGGTAATTTACTGGCTCCAACAACCTGAAGTAAAGGAGGACCCTGCTGCTGGAGCTCTGCTTTCCCAGTCCCTGTCCAAAGATCTGCACCTTTGAAAACTTTTGACTACAGGTGACAACTTTAACACTAATGTCAAAGGCGGAAAAAAATCTAGCAACAAACCACACTGCCTGTTACGCCCTATAACAAAAAAGTTTTGTTTTATATGTTAGTTTTATAAAAATTTAATTTGTTTGCATATAGAAAAATATTGTGTGTGTATTTATCTACAATTATCTATATAGATTCCCCCCCCCAGTCAGCAAAATTTGGCAAGGGAGACATGATAGATGGGCCATTTGGTTGAAAGGTTGAAAAAACATGCGTGGTATACTTGATATCATTGCATCATTCATGATGAAGTAATTCCCAAATCATTTCAGTGATGATGAAAAAGCATGTAAGCTTTGACCACACAGGAATACAATGAATATATATAAAGACACCATCACTGCTCTCACTGCAGTGTCTGAGCATCAGAGCTTGAGAAGGAAGAGGCTCAGAACGATAACCTGGAGACAAGACAACTTGGTAAAATAGCAAAGTCTTTGCAGTTTGGCTTTGAATGTTTTACTCTTCTATCTGTCATCTTAAATAGAAATCCATCCACCTTCCACCCGCTTTTCCTATCTAGGGTAGTGATGCAATGGTACAAGGTCTGACTCATGGCTGGAATTCACAGAAAACACGCAGTTTGCTTTTGGAACCTCTCGTTCATTTGGACTTTATGTGTGTTCACTCTTCTTCTTTCTAGGATTCTGACTCGTGTTCCTGTAGCAGATGAAGACCTCTTCTGTTCAATATTGCCCTAGAAGGACACCAGTGAGGGAAGAAACATTCTAAGTGGATATCAGTGTATTGAAGTTGTAACAATATATAGACAAAGAGCATATGAAAATATATTTCAAATTAATGATGCTTTTTTTCTTTTTTTCCAGACCATCCAGATATATTTTATTGAAAATGGAAACATCCTCTGTTGCTTATATTACCCTTATGGCACTAAATGAATCTAAAACAAACAAATACGTGATATTTGCCTTTTCTCTTCAAGGTTGTGTTTTCACTCTCTTCCTAAATCTGACTATAATTATTACGATCTTGCTGGAGAAGGACCTACATCAGCCGATGTACATTTTCCTCTGTAACTTGTGTATAAATGGGTTGT